TGTCTTATTGATAAGAGATATTCTAACAGCTGTAAGGTAATATCTCACTGTGTTTTGATTTGCATTTCCCTGATAATTACTGATATCAAGCACCTTTCATGTACCTGTTGGCCATACGTGTCTTCCTTGAAAAATTGTCTATTCAGATTCTCAGACCATTTTTAAATAGTATTTTTCTTTTCCCTATTGAATTCATTTTTATAGTTTGGGTATTAGCCTCTTATCAAATATGTAATTTGCAAATAATTTGTTCCATTTGATAGGCTGCCTCTTCATTTTGTTGATGGTTTTCTATGTGCAGTTTTTTAGGTTGATATAGTCTCCCTTGTTTATTTTTGCTTTTGTTGACTTTATTTTGGTGTCAAATTAAAAAACTCATCACCTTACCCCCACTAAGTTTTCTTCTAAGAGTTTTATGGTTTCAGATCTTACATTCAAGTCTTTAACCCATTTTGAGTTGATTTTTCTGTAAAGTGTAAGACAATGGTCCTATTTCATTCTTTTGCATGTGGTTATCTGGTTTTCCCAACACCATATTTATTGAAGAGACTATCCTTTCACCATTGTATATTCTTGGCTCCTTTGTCATCAATTAATTGTCCATGTATGTGTGGGTTTATTCTAGGCTTTCTTCTGTACTATTGATCTATGAATCTGTTTTCATGCCAATACCATATTATTTAGATTACTGTAGCTTTGTAATATAGCTTGAAATCAGGAAGTGTGATGGTTCCAGGTTTGTTCTTTCTCAAGATTGCTTTGGCTATTTGGGGTCTTTTCTGGTTCCATACAAATTTAGGGACTATTTATTCTACTTCTGTGAAAAATACCATCATAACTCTTTTAAAAAATTTTTATTGCTATGACTATTCTGGACTGATTAACTCACACGGCAACAATACAGGCATAAGTTTCTACTTCAGAATACTAATGAAAGTCTTGGTCTTAACCTAGCCAGGTATTTCAAAATATGTATAGGTGGCTACTAAAGAACTGGCACACTACTTGATATGAACCACCACTTCCTGAAATTAACTGAAGCATATTTATCAATACATGACTAGGCTTTTAAAAGACTGTTAAAGCTTGGTTGGGTATAAGGGTTTCAGAGGGCACTCCATGCAGGGAGACAAGTGACAGCAAAAGTGCAAAAGTGAGAGGAACTTTACTGGGTGTGGGTTGATGTCTCCTCTACTCTATACTAACACCTTTGCCCGTAGTGGTGCAGGACAAACACTCAACTCTCAACTGGTGCAGCAAGAGAGCAGAAAAAGCAGCTGCCACAACTAAGTAACCTGAGCTGATGCATCAAGATGATGCATCCTTCTGACTCCTAGTCCCAGAATTTCATCCTGGTGAAGACGACCATCGGTAAAGAAGGTGAAGCAATGTGAACTAAGGAAAACTCCTTGTTTACATGGGCTACACCCATATTAGCAGGAGACCCCTAAATTGTCAACACCTAAGTTCTGTGGCTCAAAGGTGCAGTATAGTTTTTAAGTGATACTCTCAAGATTTCATCTTTGTACACTGTGCTAACCTCTCTAAGCTTCTTGTTCTGCCCTTAATTATTGCTCTTTATTATAGTTGCATGTAGATATTTTTGTCATAATATTATTAAATAAAAGGCAGTCTGTAACCAGAGCACCAGGGAGAGATGTCTACTCCAGATCCCTCTCAATGGAATCCCTATTCCAACTGATGTCGCCAACTGTGCTCCTGGCTCAATCTCACTTTCATGGTTGAAAAAATGTAAACACTGGTCAGTCTCATATCTCATTATCTGCAGTCTCATAATCTACATTTAAAGACGATGTTTTCTATGTCTACTAACTAAACCTTATCTAGTTTCCACCTCTAATACGACATGTTTAATTTCTGATCAGTACTATCTGACGGTTTGCAAAATAGGTTAGATGGGGGTTAGACAAAAACCAGGTCAAGCAGATGGAGACCTAAGGAAACAAGGAGAAGAAAATTTAAAAGCAACTTTGAGGTTGGATGTCAAGGTAAATAGATGCAGAATAATAGTATTAACAAAAGTAAGAAAGTAAGATTAGAGGAGAATTTTGATATATGATCAATCCAGTTTAGCAGATTCCAGAGAGCAGAATAGAGCAACATAGTTTGGGGTCTAATACAGACTGATGATATTTTAAATACAGAAGGTATCTGTAGGAAAAACTTCTTCATAGTATGCACTCTGAGAAGACCACAATATTTCTTCATAGTATTCTTGCAAAAAAAAAAAAAAAGACAAAACCTGAAATTAGGGATGAGGATGCTTAAGCTGAATCCAAATTAAAGGCCATTCTATTATACAAAATAACTGGCCACTATTTATTTCTCTAAAGTGTCAAGATTAGAACAAAGAAGGACTAATGGTGTAGATTAGAGTGGATTAAGAAAGAAAAACTAAATCAATGCAGGATACTAAACTGGAGCCTAGACAGAAAAAGGACATTAGTGGGACAATTGACGAAGTTGCAATAACATCTATAGATTAGTTAAAAATATTGTAGAAATGTTAATTTCCTAGTTTTGATAATTGTACCACAGTCACATAAGATTTTATTTAACACTTGGGGAAGCTGGGCAAAGGTATACAGTGCCTCTTCGCAGTATTTTTGTAATTTTTAAAATTCTCAAATTGTTTCAAAATGAACATTAAATATTTTTAAAGAAAAGTTGAACACACAAAGTTCACTATATCTGTAGATTCAGTAATGATTATAATTTTTTAAATAACTCAATTTGCCTTAGAGAATTATTCCCTTGTTTGATAATCAGACAAACTGACAGAAACGATTGAGTCCTTAGTATCTAAGCCAGACATTTCAGACGGTACTTGCCAGCAATTTTCATTCTTTCTCATCTCATGGCACACATAAACTGATTATTATAATTCTGCAACATACCAAAAATATATGTGTTTTGCTGATCTGACAAAAAATAGGTATAATTTTGATTCATTCATAGCAGACAGCTATTGTTTTTTTGGCTGTTGTCATTTTTTTTTTATTTGACAATCTAACGAAAAAGAGGTCAGTACCCCTAACTAAATAGTCAGATATTGCAGGTTTTAAAATTCCTTGTGGCACACCAGTGTGCCTCTGGCAGCACACTGGTTGAAAATCACTGGTATAGACCAATGAAGCAATTGGAAGCAGGTATAAGAAAAACAGGTCACTAATCACATTAATTATGTTCTTCATAGGTAATACTGAACTTAAGCTTTAATTTGAGTATTTGATTTTTGACATGGCCCTGTGAAGTAGGCTACTTATTACTCACTTTCTGCATCCAGAAAGTGAAGCTGAGAGAGGTGAAGTGACTCTAGGTTGCAACTAGAAAAGGGTAGGGCTGAAAGAAGAATCAGTGTTCTGATTCCAAGTTCAAAGATCTTTCTAGAACATTAATTGCCTCTATTCTTATGATATAAAAAATGAATATATCTATGGTTACACAACAGGCTCTCCTTCTTTATTTATATAGAAATAAAGAGTTGTAAGTCAGAAAACTAAGGTTTAAATCCCGGGTTTATCACAAAGTAGTTCTGGGATGCAGGGCAAATCACTTTAAGTTTCCAGCCTCCATTTCTTCACTATCAATAAAGGTTAACTAAAGTTCATGTAAGGTATATTCTATTATGTTGTACAAAGCTACAACTTTAATCCTGTGACCCATGTATTACAAAAATTTGCAGTGCCAAATGGTGATCTCATTCCATAGTCATGTTCCCAAATGACATTTTGTATTTAATTCAGAGGTTCCAACATTTGAGGAAACTCTAAGCAAAATGCCTCCATGTTCTCAAACTCCCATATATGGGAGTGGAAATGGTGGTGGAAAACAAACAAGTTTCTTAGGTATCAACAGATATAATTCAGTAATAATATTTTTCATCATGATTCCTCTATTTAGTATTTCTTCTAACTCATATTAGGAATGTCCCTCATTGATTTTCCTTCCATTCCCTCTCCATCTAGTAAGGTCCTATTCACTACTTATTCATCTTCCTCCTGTTATTAAATAGCTTCCTAACTGGTCTCTCTGCTGTAAATGTCCTCCCATTCCAGCTCATTCCCTACCGCAGTGCTGTAAGTACTGAAATAAAATAAAACCTGCTTTGATGATGTTAAACCGTGTTTAAAACTCCCATTGGCTCACAGCCTCATAGTCATTGAGTCAGATGCAAACTCCTCAGCATACGGGCCCTTTATTTTGTGATTTGGCCCACTTTCTGGTCAAGACAATCTTCTTCTCTCTGTGCTGCTTAAGCTCTGGCCACACCAAACTTCTTAGCATTCTGTAAACACACTCTCAAGCTCTGAGGTCCTTTGCTCATAAAGGTCATCCAGCTTTTCTACTCCTGTTCCAGATTCAAGACCTTACTGAAGTATCACCTCTTCTGAGAAGCTTTCACTTACAGGCTTAAATGCAGTTCCTTAAAACACTTATTATTTATATTGTCATTATTTATATAGTTTTCCCACATTAAAAGATCAGCCCTTGAAGACAGTGGATGATGTACATTTGTCTTTACACCTCTGCATCTAGTGTAAATAACATCTGACAAACAGGTGCTGAATGAAGACCTAACCTATACTTCCTGTAGTAAAAGACACTCCACCACAGCTCCCCCAATTTTATTTCCTCTTGCAGGGGCCTTACTGATGCTCACAAATGCCTCACAAACTCAATCACTACCATGCAGTTTAACACATTTCCGAATGACCACTTGTCTCCCTAAATCTTTGAGGATATCCTAAATTAATTAAAATAAGCTAAGAAGTAAATGCATATAATTATTAATCTTCTAATATGTCATAATACATTGTGAGCATATCAGAGACATCATATGATTCTCTGGGCAAATTCACACATCCTGAATGTCCAGAGTTCTGACATTTTTGTTATGTACTTGAATGTATAGATTATTGCTTTTACATATATTTTCTTTCAGTGCAAAACAGCAATTATCAGTTAACTCGGCTTACCTGGGGTTCATGATAAGACGTCGGAAAAAGTAAGTCCAGGTGATATAATCCATTGCATCTTGCTTTGATGTTATCGTACCACCAGCAATCTCTGCATTTAAATGGTCAGAAAGCACTCCTAATAAACTGTAGAGTGAACAAGACATAGGAAACATACATGAACATTTAATGAAGCACACTTTATCTTACACTATTAAGACTTAGATGTTATGTTCCAAGATAAAAAATAACATGTTTTGCATAATTTATATATTTTTACATGATAGAGGGAAATAAATTGCAAGGTGGAAATAAGCACGGACTGACAGGAATAGAGCTAGTAACTTTCAGGAGGAGAAGATGAGAGCCAAGGGAGGAGCAGACAACAGAAAGTACACCTTAGAGAGCATGCAAGAGTAAACTTATGGCATGCAGGCGTAATTAAGGAGTGATGCTGTAGCAGATAAAAGGAAGTTCGCCAAGAAAGAGATAACAGTTCTGAGAGAGCAAAGATATTATTTTCATTCACTCAGTGAGTATTAACTTCATAGTTACAGATGACATAATTGTACTAGGTATTTTTAAGTATATGAAGATGATCAGATGTGTTGAAACACTGGCATAACAAAATGTTCACTTTAGTTTCTTATGTAAAATACAAAAATGAAAAATAGTGTCAAACAAAAGAAAGGTTAAGTAAATTATATGATACATGGAACAATATGCAGCTCTAGAAATAATTTTAGCAAAGGATGTTTTAAGGACATGAGAAAATGGCTTTAATAAGTTGAATGAAAAATCAAGTTGCTATATTATTCTCAATTTATCAGTGGCAGAGTACAAATCCATAGTCAATTTGGAGGGCAATTTGGCAATACTTATTTGAACAGTCATCATGACTTAGCATTTTACTTTTCCATTATCACCTGCTAGAGAAGCATTTACATGTTAGGATGGGAAAGCAAAATACTTCATTATGACATTACATGCAAGAGGAAAAAATTGGAAACTCTCAATGTCCATGAATACAGAAGTTAATATATAAACTATGGAATACTCTGTAATAGATAAAACATTAATAATAATCAAGGTACAAAATTAAAATTTTTAGTTAAATTTTTACTGGTGTAAAAATTTTTTTCTAGATACTGTTTCTCACATTAAGCACATTCCTTACATCCCTGTTTGCTAACAAGTTTTTATTATGAATTGGTGTGAAATTTCATAATTTTTTTATTGAGGTAATTGTGATTTTTCTCATTTTTTCATGCTACCGTGTTAAACTATATAATTTTCAAGTAATAAATCATCTTTGCATTTATAGAATAAAGATGATATATTATCTTTACACTGCTGGATTTGACTTGCTTATGTTTTGCTTAGAATATCTATGTTAAAAGATTTTATATTACAGATTCAATTGCTTTGATTGATAAGAGACTATTTAGATATTCTATTTCTTTTTGTGTCAGTTTTAGTAAGATTTTTAGAAAGAATTTTACCATTTGATCCAATTTTTAAAAATTGCATGAAGTTTTTCATAATCTTATTTTAGATGTCTGTTGTATCTTTTGATTCCTGATACCATTTTGTTCTTTTTCTCTCTTCTTCTTAATGAGACTTAAAGGTTTATCAATTTTATTTTTCTATTCAAAGATCCAACTTTTGCCTTTGCTGATTTTCTTCTAATGTATTATGTTTGGTTTCAATTAATTAATTCTTGCTTTAATTTTTCTTATCTTTTCCTTTCTTTGAGTTCAATTTACTATTTTTTTTTGAAATTCTTATAATAGATAATAAGGTAATTGATATTTCATTCTTTTAAAATATATATCTATGGTCATAAATTTTCTCTAAACACAGAGTAAACTATATCCCACAATATTTCATTTTTTATATTTTTCAACTTTAAAGAAATAAACATAAGTGGCAGTAATAACAATAAAAACTCAATAACTATTTACAGTATAAATTAAAAAAATATTTTGTCCTTCCCAATTGGAATATAGTAAAGGAGATACAGTATATTAAAAAAGACTGATAAAAGGTAGCAAGGGATAAATATTAGAAATAAAAAATGTGTGAATCTAAGAGAGAAAAGATGATTTTTCAGCTGAGAATATGAGTCAAGATTGTGTCAAAAGGGTAGTGGTTACTAGGTTCACAAAGAAGTTTGTAGTAATTCTGAAATAGGCCACCTGTCTAAATTATTCACTCTATGTCTTTTTTATTATACTTTTATTTATGAGCTACACCACAAAGATACACACAAAACTAATCCCTTAACACTTACTATGTGATGGACACTGTTCAAGCACTGTGCATTTGATCACTACAAGTGCCCTACCAAATGGCTGGTGCAGCTATCATCTCCACTTTACAGGTGGGTGCCCTACTGCACTGAGGAATCAAATAACTTGTTCGGTATCAGCAGGTGGTGGAGCTCAGTTATGAACCCAGGTTGTCTGGTTCCAAAGTCAATGTGAATGAACACTGTACTACACTACTTCTTTCAAAAAGTTTATTTTTTAAATGAAAAGTATGACTGAATGTTGTTTTATAGCAATGATTATATTTGGTTTCATTTCAAATAATATTTTTGAACTAGTTTATTGATTTTTATCTAATAAAATGCAACCACAAAAATATCAACTTGCTATGATATGAATTAATTTAAAATAATTTATAGCAAAATTTACCTCGATTCTACTGGGAATGGTTCATAAAGAAATTTTTTGTAAAAATCTTTCTTTATGTCATGAACCAGAATTACGGCTTTGCCTTGGTCATCAAACTGGGGCCTTCCAGCACGTCCCATCATCTGGAGTACATCTATAAAAGAGAGAACAGGAGGTACTCTGAGGTGGCACAAGGTGTGTTTACTGACTATGGCATGTGTCTACAACACAGCAAAACAACAAAGGAAACAGGAATCTAAGAGCATGTATGCTGTCTCTGATGCCTACTACTGAGTTTCTTAATAATTAAATAATCAATTCACTATGATATAAAATTAAGTCCCCAAAGGCTCTTACTGTCTGGAAAATAAAGAGAAATGGTTCCTTTAGTTAAATGCTTAAAAAATGGTGTTTAAAAATTATTTTTATTTTAATTTAACAAGAAAATGAACACATATTTAGAAAAATCTCTTCAGCATGGCCATTTGATCATTTCTCTCCACAAATAATGGATCTATTTAGACCTCACCCTTCATCAACCATGGTATACAATACCTTTCTTTTATACAGCAGGAATCTCTGAAGTAATCAGGTAGAAATAATACAGCTTTTACCTGTATTCACTGGGTATAAATATACAGTGAGAATATTTCTCTCTTCAGAACTCAATGAAAATGGTTTTATCAAGTTTTAAAATATGTTAATAGATTGTTCGTGCAACAAGTGCTACTACTAATCAGTACTTTTATTTATTTATGAATTGGAAACCATTAGTTCTGCTTCTGATTTCTTAACAAATTGGGTAAATGTAAGACGGGGTAAGTAAAAGTAAATGAAAACAGTTAAAAACTTTAATATTTGTACTAGAAACAAAAATTTATAATTTGCTCATCATATGTTTAAATGTGACCAATTCTCTAATATTTAATTCATGCAAATTGAATTTTTAAGGCATAAAGAGCAGCTTAATGTATCTGTAAATGAAAAAAAATTACCTGTAATGGGAAAATCCACATAACGTCTTGTTTTTCCATCATAATATTCTGTTCCTTTAATAATTACTAAGTGAGCTGGAAAGTTTACACCCCAAGCTAATGTACTTGTAGCAATAAGAACCTAAAAAAAAAAGACAACATATTTAACTAAAACATAATGTTTAAATTACATTTAAATATCTGGTCATGGAAAAAAAATACCTGAACTTTACAGTTAACAAAAAGTTCTTCTACTGTTTTCCGGTCCCTCTCATGTAGTCCAGCATGATGCATTCCTATTCCGAAAGCAAGTGTAAGCTTCAGGTTGGAATCTCTTAGCGTTCCAATGATATTCTCCATCTGCAAATACAAACAGTGATAAGATGTAGGCACATTAGCTTTAAAATTTTTATATTAAGACTGTATTTATTTTGTTTTTTGCTTATGATACTTATAAGCATAAAAATACATGCCCCATCCACAGTTATGATTAAAGGTAAATTAATTGAAAAGAATATCTTAGCAAGAATGTATATTCTAAATAAAGTTTAAATGTTATCCATCTTATTTTTATGCATCAAGCAAAAATAAACTTATGAATAAGTGGCATATCCCCTTAACTATTAAAGGGATGCAGTGTGGCCTAAAATGTTTCAGTATCTCTGTTCATCTCTTGTTAAAGGAAAGACTTTCTTTTGGTTTAGTGCTAAAAATGTAGAAAATATGGACAAAAAATAATGAAAAAACCAGCCATTATCCCACCACACAGACAGAAGTTGTTCAAGTTCAGGTTTTCTCACTACCTTCATGACCCAAGGGAAACCAGATAACCTCTTTGAGCCTCAGTTTAATAATTTACAAATCAAAAGTGTTATTTTTGTTTACTTCTCATTTCTTTGATCAATAGTGCAGTTAAATATATTTAATATTTACTATGTATTTTTCTTTGTAAATTATCTTTTCATTTTTCAGGTGCATGTGCCCTTTTTCTTATTGGCTTGTGATAGGTCTTTATGGATAAAGAGTATCAACTCCTTGTCCATCATATGCTATAATGCTTTCATCCAGTTTTTTGTTCTTCATTTAATTTTCTTTTTTACTTTATGGACTTAAAATTTTAAATTGATCCCATATGTTTTGTTGCCTCATCTTGAGATCAAATACATATTCACCTACTAGTTCAACTTCTTTTATAGTTTTATTTTTTTACATTTAAATAATTAACTTGTAATTTATTTTGTAATGGAAAGTATGGTAGAAATCTAAGTTTATTTTTCTTAAATAATTAATCAATTATTCTAGCAATCCTGGTTAAACAATTCCTTACCTCACTTACTTTAAATGCTAATACTATTATATTTGGAATTGTTATACCTTCCAGTTTTTAAATTTTAAAACAGATTTAATATCTGGCCTCAGCTTAAGTCACTAAATTTTCATGTCTAAATGGTTTCTGAAAGTCATATATTATAAATACTCTCTGAATATTCTATCACTTTCCACTCTACATGGAAAATACTTAATGCAACACAGATTTTATGGCAACATGCAGCAAATCTTATTTTCTTACAAAATTGACTCCCCATAAAGAACTAAATAGAAACCCCAGTCTCCTTCTATTTAATAGTAGACCTCTGCTGGTCCTTGAAGCCGAGGATGACACATGGTGCTGTACAGGGAGGTTCTTTCTGGGCAATTAACTCGAAGAGAACAGTAATGCAGAGATCGTGTAGTTCGAGGATACATGGGCATTTTTTTAAAAGACACATCTTAGTTATATCTGTAGCCTCACTACCACAGTCCAAGAGTAAACAACAGTGGAACAGGAACTTGTAAATAGATACATGTAAAATTATTTAATGTCTAAAGACTGAGGAAAATGGAGACAACTGTACTTGAACAACAATACAAAAAGTAGAAAAAAAAAGACAGGTAGAAATACTAAAAACTGACATTGTCTTTGGACTTCATTTTCTTTTCCTTCTACTATTAACCACCTCTAATATACACAGGTACACTTGCAAGACACTCCTGGCTGTGCATAAACCAATATGCAGCTCACAAAATCTCCATTTAGAGCAACTTTAGCAGACTGCTGCAGTTTTATATAAATGCGTAAGACAAGCCTATCCATATTGTGAAGCATTCCAACTGTTTGCATTCTCAGTCATGTTTTCCCAACATTCAAAAAATTTTCCTCATTTTTCATGTGGAAACAAGTTGTTTTATACTAATAATCTGAAAAATAGGAAAAGTTTGCCTTTATAATAATTAATAATGTATAAAAAGTACTACATAGATGAGGTAATATTTTAATGATATATACATCAGAAATGTTATTTACCAACTATCCCTGAACAAAATGCAATGTTTAAGCAGTTCATTCTGTTTCATAGTCACAGCAAGGTCATCTAATATTCTTGCATTATTTACTTTGTAAACTGTTAAGCAAGAATAGAAAGATGTATTAGCATAAATCCACTTTATTTTTAAAATAACTAAGCTGACTACAAATGCATGCTATAAACAAAGGTGCTTGTCTTGTCTCATAAATTGTATGTTAGTAGTTCTCAAATGACTGTTTATTATCCATTGTTTAGTAGGTCACTGTATAAGACATCTTCAATTTATACTGTCAAGAATTAGTTCACTAATATTGTTAGTCTGACAATTAGTTTCAGGGATTATATTTTTCAGTTCCACAACTTAAACAACAGTATATTTTTTTAACTTGTATAATTTATTGTTCCATGGCAATGCCAGTCATACCCAAAAGGGAATGTAACATCTACCCTAGGAAAGCTAAAGAATCCTATGGCAGGAGGTTTGGTGAGGCAGTAATCCTGTCCTTTTACATCAGGGAAGGCTGGCTGTTTCTCATTCCGCTGCCTCCATTTCCCATAAATCAATGCATTAAAAAGAACTATTTGCCTATCTGAACTGGCAAAGACCTAAAATCCTCATGAGGACAATCACAAAAAAACAACTTCATTTATTACATGGTTACTGTGGATAAATTCTAAGTTATTTGAACATCATAAAAAAGCAAAATTTATAGTATTGTTATTCAACCATTAAGCATAAAATACTACTAGGACAGCCTGTTTAAATTTGAAAACATAAAATGTTGATTAAGTTTCATCTTTATCAAAACAAAATATAAGCAAAATTTTTCAGGAACTTAGGATAATCAAAGATTAAAACATGATACTAGATATTGTTTGCTGAGTACTTACATATCAAGCATTGTGCTTATTACTTTACAAAGTTATCACATTTAATCCTTTACATAAAGTAAAACAGCTCTGATGTAACTCCCAATTCATTTACATACCCAGTGCATTACAGATTAAAAGGCTCAATGATTTTGAATACTTTAGAGTAGCTTTCTCAACCAGGATTCCATGGGAGAAGGAAATTTGAATTACCATCTTCTTAATTTTTCCAAGATAGGTATTACCATTCTAGATAGTTAGTTTAAAAGTTCATTTATTAAATGCAATGGTTGCCTTAGGAAGTTAAGGCTTAATTCTTGTTAAGAAAGTCTGCTATAGAATTTTAGAAAGAATAATTATGATAATTAAAACACTTTAATATAGGGAGTTTTAATTCCATAGTTTATTGCTGTTCAATTAACATTTGTTGCAATGTATAGGTATCTTTCCAATAAATAGTCTTTGATATATGTCTGACTACATGTTAGTTAAACCAAGAAAATTATTCAATATTATAAATAAAAGAAAAACAAATCTGTTCCTCTAAGTAGTGGTCCTAGGGTGGTGGGGGAGGAGGCACATATGTAAACTGTTGAACCAATTACTTTAACTTAATAGAATTTTTTATATTTTAAATTTATTATACTCAAAAAGCTTTTGTAGAAAGATAGGATTCCATTTAAGTAGATACATTACTCTGTTCCTGAAATACATTCCAGTCAGAATATAATTCAGTGAGTTGATGACAATGCTGGCTCCAAAAGAAAGGAGGAGACCAGATTGGACAAGAATGAGCTAACAGATTGTGCAGCCCAATTCTGTCCCTTTGAGTGTGATATATTGTTTCAAGATGCTAAAAACCCATACTTTCTCAAAGCATATTGTTGTGCTGGTTTTCCCATTTTCACAGAATCCTCATTATCAGAACTCCGTACTCTTTTCAAAGCACGTCAGACTCAGACCATATGCCACTGAATAATGCTTATCAATTGTCTAAAATACTCAATAAAAGATGCACCAAACAGAAGAATAATAAAAGTTATAAATACTTTGATTTTTTAAAAAATAATTAAATACATCACATTGGTACAGATGTTAAATGAAGTTAAAACATTTCCTCATAATTACAGTTAACTTCTTAAAATCTACTTCTGTATGATATACCCTATAGACTGAAGAGGAAAAATTTAGAAAAAATCCCACTTTATACATTCTGTTCATCTAACAGGACAGAAATCAGAAACTAAATTAATTAAAGACAGTAAGTTCCCAAACTTTACCAGTACTCTTCAGAACATTTTCTCTTGCTGTCCCTTCGGAAGTCCGTAACAACCACACCCCAGTAAAACTCATTAGACTGTTAATATATATTATATGTGATTAAATGTACAATTATACATCAATTAAATATATAAATAAAATCTAAACAATCTTTTCTATGTTGGCTAAATACATACAACACTATTTTCAATGTTTATTTTTTTAGTTTAGCTTGATTCTTAATAATAGTAATATCAAAACAGGGCTACAGATATTGAATATTTTTTCCTTAGGAATTATTCTAATTTAATTCACTATCCTATTAGTAGGAAATCTCAGTGTATGTGCTACGTATTTCTTTTTTTCTTTTTATAAGTAGAGACAAGAATTGAATGTTTTTTTTTTTTTAGATTTTATTTATTTATTTTTAGAGGGGGGAGAGAGAGAGAGAGAGAGAGAGAGAGAAACATCAATGTGTGGTTGCTGGGGGTTATGGCCTGCAACCCAGGCATGTACCCTGGCTGGGAATCGAACCTGGGACACTTTGGTTCCCAGCCCGCGCTCAATCCACTGAGCTACGCCAGCTAGGGCTCGTATTTCATTTTGAGTATACATTTTATGCTTACTTCCATGTTTAGAGAGTTCAGATTCTAAAATATGCTTGGAAGGAATTTACAAATATGGAAAAGCGTTTAAATTACAGAGAAAGTTGATGAAAAGGACTTTACAGAATTAATTTTTTAAGTGGCATAATTTTAAATGAACAAACACTACATTAATATTAATTCAATTTATAAAGGATCACAAGCCAAATATTATAAAATTATGATCAAATATTATCAGAGCTGTCAGCAAGAACAACATGTTTGCTAGGTATTATCCAAT